AGAACCAGGGATTGAACTCAGGCCCTTGTGCTTGCCAGGGAGGTACTTATTCCACTGAGCCATCTCCCCGGCCCCTCTCTCAGCATTTGGCCATTCATTCATTCATTCATTCATTCATTCATTCATTCATTCATTCTGTAAACATGCAGAGACCAAGTGCCTGTGACCTTCTTGCCTCCAGGAACTCAGGCTACCAGGAGACGCTCCACCACAAGTCCCTCTGTTCTCTAAATACTCACTGAGGCCGCCCTTGAGGCTGCCTCCCATGGGGGACCCTGCCCGGTTGCCGGGCGCCCTGGGCCTTTCTTCTGAGAGCCCAGAGCAGGCCCAGCCCTCAGGCATGGCCTGTCGTTGGTCAAGAGCACAGATCTAAGTGTCTTACACGACTCATCATCTTCACACGACTCTCACTGTACAAACGAGACAACTGAGGCCCAGAGAAGTGACTTGCTTGTGGCCACCCACTAGGAAGCACTGGAGCCAGGATTTGAACCTGGGCTGGTGGCTCCTAGCTGCCACGCTGCTCCCTGACCTCCACCCCCCGCCAGCCTAGAGTCTGGTGCAGATCAGACTTCTACCTGGAACTCAATGCAGCAAGCAAGCCTCCCCAGCTCCAGACAGTGCTTATTCAGGAATGACACCCATGGGTGGCAGTGTGGGGCTGCTGGCACCATTCTCCAGGTGACACAGGAAGGGGAGGGACAATCTTGGGACAGCAGCCACCACTGAGCCTTGGGCTGAGATCTACACCCTGCCACCTCATCAGTGCCCCGTGGAGGAGACCCCTTCTGTCTCTCAATGACAAGCCCAGCCAAGGGAGTTGCGAGATGCGAGGCCCAGCGGCTTGGGTCGGTGCTGCATGCAGGGAACAAGAAAACCTGGCGCTCGCTGGGGACCTTGGGCAGGTTGCCGCATGGATGTCCTTGCCCTGAACAGCAGGGCTCGTGACAACCTCCTGAAAGGGCCAGCAGGAGTCTAACGAGACCACGTGGATGAAATGCTCCACCTGCCAGCGTCCCACGAACCCTCGCGTCCCCTCTTCTGCATGACAGCATCACCTCAGCTACACTTCCTGCTCTTCCTGGGCAGAGGGGTCTCTTGGGGCTCCCTGAGGTCCCCAGAGAGAGTGGAACTCATTCTTGGTGTCTAAGGCTCTGGTCCTGGCTGCCTCCCCCAAGTGCTGGGCTCCACTGCCCTCCCGCCCTGCCCCGTTACCTTTGATCTTCTCGCCCTTGCTCAGGGAGATCTCCCCCTCGCCCTGGGCCTGGTAGGACTTCACGGCCATGAAGGAGCGTCCAGGGACTGCTGAGTAGAGCTTCCTCCGCCGTCCTCGGCTGCCCAGGGAGCCCCCAGGGCCCCCAGAGCCCCCAGTGCCACCGGCTGGCCCTTCCCGGGGCGTCCCACTGGAGCTGTGGACACAGAGGGTGTGAGAGGTGGGGGCTTCGAGGCAGAGAGGGGGCACTGTAGGGGAACAGGGCTCCTAGGAGGAGCGCAGCATGGAGCATGGGACAGGGAGGGTGTGAGGGGTTTCTCGCTCTGGCATCCTAGGGGAAGAGGGCATCTGGGGGCTTCCTCCGCCTGCCCACTGCTGCCCCCAGCCCCTCTCCTGCCTGCTCCCATGGTCCTGTTCCCACTGCCTGATTCAGTTTCCTGGAGCTGAGCTGGGACTGTGTCATCCCCAGCTTATGAGCTTTCACAGATGCCCCACTTCCATCAGGCCCAAGTCCTCTGCCTGCTACCCAAGGACGTGCCTCCCCCTGGGACGTGCCTGGCCAGCACTGTCCTCCTCTAGCCAGGCTGATACCCTCCCCAGGATGGTCCCTGAGCACTCCCCCATGTACCCCTAGCCTAGATGGCCCTCCCCCAGTTGGCCCTCGTGCTGGTCTTCCTCCAGCCTTGTCCTGCGGCCTGGCCATCTGCGGGGGCTAGAACCCACACTTCCAGGAGAGCCCTGGCCCCTAGAATGGGACACATTTGGAGATGACAAGAAGACAGTAGCTCACAGTGCCCTCATATCACACAAGGGACAAGGGATGAGGGACCTGCTGCCATGCTCCAGAAGCAGCTGGGCAGCTGGTGTGGCTCGAGGCTGCTGTGTCCCAGGGCATCAGTGGCTTAGCTGGGGCTGGGCAGCCAGGGCTGCAGCCACCTACCTGGGCCGTCCTCGGGGTTGCCGTTTGGCTTCCTCGGGGTGCCTCCCTCGGGATGGGGAGCGGGCCCGGGCGCCCCGGGGGCTGCTGGCACTTCGGAGGGTCCCGCTGCTGAGCTTGCTAGTGGGGGCCGAGGGCTGTGACTGGCCCTGGGGCCCTGAAGTAGGGCCAGGGGCCCCAGAGGACGAAGTCCCCGGGGCAGAGAACACCATCCAGTCGGGCAGCGTCATGCTCGTATCACTGTTGGCCCTGAGCAGCGCAGGGGGCACCGTCAGCCCTGCCCCTGGTGGTCCCCGTCGCCGGGCTGCGTACTTCGGGGACTCCTGGAAGGGCACTGGGAGGCCACAGTGGTGGGTTGGGGATAGTCATGGTCAGGAATCAGAGGCAGGTGGGAGCCATTAGGGCAAGAGAGGCATGGGAGAGAAAAATGGAGATGAGAAAAAAGTGGGGATCCTAGAATCACTCCCCCCCACTCCTCCATTTCACTTGTCCCCCCAAGCTTGAGCCCCCCAAATCCCACCCTGAACTGGTGGGGTAACTGCAAGGTGGAACCCCAAGATGCCCCGGCTCCCCCTTCCTTACCCACATCCTGCTCACGATGGTTCCGGATGAGCTCTCCCAGCTCGAAGTTCCCAGCAATCACGGCCACCTGGACAGAGGGGTGGGGGGAGGGGACGGGGGCAAGAGAGGGAGGAAACATCCTGAGGGCCCCCAGTCAGGCTCCGACCCTGCCCTGTCCCAGAGCCAGCCTCCCTCCCAGCATTTCTTGCTGTGCCCACAGCCCAGCCCACCCCCAGCCCATACCTGGAAGGGTGTCTGTCCGCTGTTATTCTTCACATCCTTGTTGGCCCCTCGATAGAGGAGGATCCTGGCACAGGTCTCCTGAGAGTGGCAGCCAATAGCAGGGGACAAAAGGAAAAATAACACAAGGTCACTGTGAGTGGCCACCACCTCGGGTGCCTTGCTAAAAATTCAGAAATAATCCAACCTAAACCCGCATGGCCTAGAGCAGCAGCCTCACACCAGGGGCTGCCAGCACTTTAAGTGTAAAGGGACACGAGCTGGGTGTATGAAATACACGCAAGGTTCTGAGGACTGAGTTGACAAGATCAACTGGCTCTGATAATTATATTAATGCCGGGTTTAAGTGGTAATAGTTTAGATAAGTTTGCTTATGTAAAGCATGGACTAAAATGAATGTCACCTGACACTTCCTCCTCAAATGTGGCCACCCGGGCCCTGAGGAGAGGCAGGACATTTAGTTTTCGAGGCTGAAGCCGGGTTGGCTCACAGTACTGATCTAAAGCAGCATTCTTTCGTGGGCTGTTCTCTGCCCTGCGGTGTGCGGGGCAGCCTCCTGGCTTCCACCGCTAGATGCCAGTAGCAGTCCCTTTCTTAGCCCTGACAACAAAATGATCTCCAGACATTGCTAAACGTCCCCTGGGGAGCGGAAGCCGGGGAGAACCACTCTGGAATCTGACACAGGCCTCTCGCACTTGGCACTCGAGAGGCTAAAGCTTGCCGAGTTGCCCAGCAGTCCCAGGAGGTGGAAATGATTGTCCCTATTTTACAGTCGGGGGAACCAAGGCTCCCAGAGGAGCCCGAGGTCACGTGGTGGGGGTGTCAGCCCCGCGATGCTAACCCATTTCCGGGGCTGGGGAGATGGTTCAGTGGAATAAGGGCTTCCCTGGCAAGCCATAGGGCCTGAGTTCAATCCCCAGTTCAGGGAAAAAAAAAAATCTTCAAACTAACCCATTTCCGCCTGACTCTTAGGTTTTCCATCTTAATCGCACACTCACCAGACCCACAAGCCCCGAGGGGGGCACATGCTAGGAGACCGCGAAGCCAGGATTGGGCAGTGGGGCCAGGCACGCCACCTACATCCATGTCAGTTCCCTAGCAATGTCACTCATGGGTCTCTGCTTAGCATTCCTGGTCTGAACACCATGCCTGCATCTCCACGCTGCTTGCTTTCTTTACTCAGTTCCCTGTTCACATGCCACCTCTCTGACAGGACGGCTCTGGCCACTCTGACCAAGGGTCCCCTTGCCTTATTCCTATTTATTTTTATGTGATCCTCTTGTATGTAAGTGCCAGGCAACTTTTTAGGTAAGTCATTGTCAACTCATTTTCTTCATGACACCAGCTTGGAAATTCTGTTTTTAGCGTCACTTGTGTCTCTGCCTCTTCCATGGTAAGTTAACAGGATTGTGTTTGCAGCTGAGACAAGACTAGTGCCTGGCTTGTTGAGATTGCTGGATTAACAGTAGGTCCGTGGACAAAGTGGCCGCACCAAACCCAGCCTGCAGGCCCCCAGCGTGGTGCCACGCTGGCTCCCTCCCACCAGCAGCTCCTTATCGGGCTGCTTCTACCTAGAGCAGTGGGAGATACAGATGTCTCCTCAGGGACAGGGTAAGAGATGGTAGGTCCCATGCCCGGGGCCACACAGAGCGGTCAACATGTGTGTCTGGCCTTCTGCTCCCTCTAGAATGGACAGCTCTGCTGCCAAGGTCACTCACAGGACACCACTTAGCGGGTGTGCTGGGTGTGCCGTGAGTGGGTGCATAAGCCCACGTGCCGGCCACATCACTACTGCCATGTGCGTGTGTGCATATCGCTCACATCTCCAATCCCATGGGGGGGACAAAGGCGGGGACAGGGCTAGAGCTCTAAGCACCCGCTCGCCCTCTCTTCCTGCTCTGACCAAACTGAGCTGGGTCTGAGTCTGTTAGTGTTTTCCCTCGCTGGGCACCTGCAGGAATTCTGTTTACTTATAAACTAGCGCTTATCTCACGAGACTGCAAGGACTTGTCTACACATCTGCTTCTTCGCAGACTTCGGATTCCCCCCACCCTCCGGGGCGCGCACACAGTGTGCTATTCATCTCCACCTTGCACCTCCAGCACCTCGGCCCAGGCACTCACTAGGTGCTCAAGCAATGAGTATGGAAAGGATGGAGGATGGAACAGATGGAGCTGTTTGCCAAATTCACTGGCTCAAACCCATTCATTCATTCATTCATTCACTCACTCACTCACTCACTCATGGAGTCACCTGATCTGCTGAACTAAGCAGACACCTGCTGAACACTCTGAGCTGGGTCTGTGCGCCATCCTGGTGGAAAGTGAAACAGCTGGCTTGTCACTCACTCATCCATTCACTCCGTAAAGACGCAGCCAGGCCTACGGCATGCAATTCATGAGCCTCAGCCCCACCTGAGTGCTCATGGCCTAGCCTTGCCCTTCCCACCAGAGGCCACACGGGCCCCGCAGGGACCACGGGGATGGAAAGCAAGTAATGGTGGCCCCAACCCAGTCTGGAGCCCGGGCGGGGACAGCAGCAGTAAGCCAGTAAGCTTCTGTGTGTTCAGCCTGTGCTGTCAGCCACCATGCCGAGCCCTCCTGCTGTGTGGTGAGGGATGAACTACTGACCCGTTTCGCAGATTCGAGGGCAGTTCGAGGGGGGAGGTGACCCGCTCATCTGGCCCACTAAGTGTGACTGTGCCTGCTGGATAATTCTCTATGGGACACTGCTCCTGCTCCGATGAATGGCGTCTCCTGACTGACACTGGCAGTGATCATCATAACCACCGTCATCATTATTACGGCTTTCTTCAAGGGAGGAACACTTCATGCCGTGATCACTCATCCTTGCCACCGGCTGACATGGTGCCATTTCCGGGAGAGAGGCGGGAAAGGGGGGCTCGTCTAAGGCCCCTTCATCTGCCTGAGGCTGGGGTTTTTTGCCTGTGGCCACACGTGTCAGGGAGCCGGAGAGACAGCCAGCAGGGAGGGACGCGTCAGCCCCGTGCTGCTTTGGTTTGACAAACACTGAGTCCTCCCTCGGCGCTGAGCATACTGCTCGCTGCCACGCGGCAGCATGTGGCCACCTGCCAAGTCCCTGGCACTGCAAGTTCTCATGAGGCAGAAGGGGCTGGGGCTGCTTTGGAAGAGTTCCTGGAGGGAGGGGCTGATGGCCCCGCAGCGTCACACCAGGGCTCATCCCACCCGTGTCCCTGCAGCAACCGTGCAGGGACAGACAGCCTGAGGACCCGAGGGGGCACTGCCTGGGATTGTGCGCTGCTCATGTGGCAGAGGTGCCCTAGCCACTGCCAGTGGCTGTCCCAGCTCACTAGGTGAGCCCCTCCTGTCTGTTCAGTCCTGCCACCTCTCTAAGGATTTGCCAGGGTGGGGACCGTCCACCCAGCCTGAACTGCCACATGGGCAACTCAGTGTCTCCCTTTTGGGAGCCTGCTTTGGCCTTTCCTCTGTCCTCGGCCATGGTGCCCTGCAGATTGCTGGCTGACTGGCATCCCGTGACCAGTGGGGCTGCTGACGCCCCCTACTTCCTGCACTTGTCCTCATTCTGCCCCTCTGGTCTTGTGCACGGCTGGGCCCCACGGCTGGAGCATCTTCTTCCCTCTCTTCCCAGCCAGCTCCTCTGCTCTTAACATGTGTTGCATCCTCCAGGGGAGGACACTGGCCATCCACCCAAACCAACCCCAGATATGGTTGGGGGGGGGGACCCGGCATCCCCTGAAGTCACTCTGAGCTCTCTGGAGTGTAAGATTGCTAAGAGTGAGGGATGTCATCTGCCCCTTGCTAGTCCATGAACTCAACCCTCTGTTAGCCGTCAGCTCTGGGCCTGATACAGGGAAAGAGCTCAGTATGCATTTATTGGATGAATGGATGGGTGAGTAGATGGATGGACGACAGAGAATAGATAGGTAGAAGGACAAGTGGATTGATAGGTGGATGAATGGGTAGGTGGATGGATGGATGGATGGATGATGGATGGATGGATGGATGGATGGATGGGTGGATGGGTGAGTAGATGTATGGGTGGGGTAATGGATGGATGATGGGTGGACAGATGGGTAGATGGACAGGTGAACTGATAGACGAATGGATGGATGGATAGGTGGGCAGATGGATGATGGATGGATGGGGTGGATGATGGATGGATGGGGTGGATGATGGATAGATGACGGATGGTGGGTGGATGGGTGAGTGGATGTGTGGGTGGGAGAATGGATGGATTATAGGTGGATAGATAGGTAGATGAACAGGTGAGCTGATAGGTGGATGAATGGATGGATGGAAAGTGGGTGGATAGAGTAGAAGCAGTGAAATAGTGGAGGATGCAGTGGTTAGCACCCTGTGGTTGAAAGGACCTGATCTTGGCCCTGGGAGATGTCTGCAGGGGGGCAGGCGGGTGTGAGGGGCAAGCAGGCATTGCTCGGCAGACCTTGTTGTAGAGCGCACAGATGTGCAGGGCTGTGTTCCCCGAGGCATTCTGGGCTCCAGGCTCAGCCCCGTAGAAGAGCAGGTGTTCCAGGTGCTGGGAGTGGCCCCGCTGACAGGCCTGAGGGACAGAGCGAACAGAGGCTGGGTCAGCCCCAACCTACCCCCTTTCAGATCCCTCCCCCTTTCTAAGGCTGTGTGTCCAGCCTGGTCCTTCCATAGGGCTGAGAGGCCAGCCCTGGCCATTCAAGGACCACACTGTCTCGGCTCCCAGCCCACCATCTCCTTTGTGGGGACCATGCTGTTGTCACCCCCACCTTGTGTAATGTGGGGACCCCAGCATCTGGATGCCAGCCCCAGATGCCCGGATGCCTCAGGACCCAGGCACCCCGCCCCTCAGCCTGGCCAACTCCAGGGCACCTGGTGGATTTCCTGCCAGCCATTCTCATCTGCTATGCCCAGCTGGGCCCTGTTGTACAGAAGCAGCTCGCAGCAGCGGGGATCACCCCCCACCATAGCTGTGTGGAACAGAGGGGTCAGCCCCCGGCGGTCTTTGTAGTTAGGGGAGCCTCCCAGGTCCAGGAGTGCCTAGGGAGGGAGAGAGAGGACAGAGGACAGTGACACAAGAACTGTCTCATCCTAAAGGGCAGCTGGGGAGCTGAGTCCTGGTGAACCACACTGGCCACAGCCTGTCGCACCTCTGATATGATGCTCCTTTCTGACCCCAGGCCAGGCCCTCCCTTGCTGTGAACCACTTCTGTCCCTGGACCCTGATGTTCTGCCATCTTGCCCAACCTTTCCTCATGGGTGACCACAGATGGGCCACAGGAGGATCTCAGTAGCTACAGTGTCTCCATTCCCAGTCCACAGGACGTCTGCTGGGGGACAAAGGAGACAATGCAGTCTGGACACAAGTGGTCCCCTGGCCAGGAAAGAAGCACTAGTAGGACCAGGATCTCAAGCACAGGGCACAGAGGGCAGCGTGGGGCAGAGCAAGCTCTGGGCAAAGGCAGGCATTGCACTGGCCTCCCCAGGAGAGGGGATCAGGGGCGGGGAGTGGCACCATTTCATGGAAGGCTCTGCGCATGGAAGACAGGTGGCACTGGGCATTAATGTGAGCAAGTGCTGATGGCAGCCTCGCTAGGATGGCCCGAAAGAAGGCTGTCCGGCAGAGCATTCAGCAATGAGGGAGCTGGTCTCTAATTGCATGGTCCAACACGGTGGCCACACAGGGCTGGCAAGCCCCAGGAGCCAAAATTTTAATTTAACTTAATCTTAATTAATTGAAATTTAAAGAGTCTCATGAGGCCAGTAGCTAATGGATTGGGCAGTGAAGATCTGCAGGCTGTGTGTGTGTGTGTGTGTGTGTGTGTGTGTGTATACACACAGGAGGGAGCTTGGGGCTGAGTGTGCATCCTGGGATAAGTGAAGAGGATCCGTTAAGTGGGCTTGGTGACACCTGCTGTGACCCCAGTGTCCTGGGGCATGGAGGCAGGAGGATCCAACCTGGGCAACCCAGGGACAGCCTGCCTGAAGATAAGGGCTGGGTACATAGCTCAGCGCAAAGGCCCTGGGCTCCATCCAGGTACTGGGGGGGAAGAGTCCTACAGCTGGTGGGGACTGGTGCCACCTCTTTGGGACGGGACATTTTGGTGCAGCACATGAACAAGGGCTGTGTTTGCTGTGAGAAAAGAGGGGAGAGCAGTGGTCAGAAAGCGGTGATTTGGGGGTGTGCCGGGGCACAGCGAGGGGCTGTTTTAGGGACTCCAAGGAGCCAGAAGCAGGTGGGTTCAGAAAAGGGCCATCTAGCCTCTGGGGAAAGAGGTGGGTGCTGAGGGTGCCATGTGCTGTCCCTGGGCTGAGGTGGGTGGCCCCAGGGAGGGCCAGTGAAAGTAAGGACTGGTGTATTTGTCCGTCTGCAGAAAGGGGCTTCTATGGGGGACAGAAAGAGCAGCTCTTTTCTCCCCAGCACTGGAGACTGGACCCAGTGTCTTCCCACTGCGCTACTTCCCCAGCCCCTTTTACATTCTCACTTTGAGACAGGCTCTTGCAAGCCACTAAATTCCCTAGGCTGGACTCAAGCTTGTAATCCTCCTGCCTCAGCCTCCCAGAGTGCTGAGGTTACAGGCACAGACCAGCACACCCAGCTAGAAAAGGCCTTTTAAAAAAAAGTATTTAAGGGCTGGGGTGATGGCTCAGTGGAATAAGCGCTTCCCTGGCAAGCATGAAGACTTGAGTTTGATCCCTGGTTTGCCAAAAAAAAAAAAAAAAAAAAGTATTTAAAAAGTAGGGTTCAGACAAAACAACAAAATAAGAACCTGGGTGAGGGGAGGTTAGCATTACCGTGAGCGCCAGGCAGTGTCGGGCACATGCGGCCTTGTGTAGCGCTGTCATGCCGTCCCGGGCCCGGAAGTCAATGTGGGCCCCACCTAGGCACAGGGTTCGAATCACCTCTACAGAGCCTTCGGTCTGGGCTGCCAGGGTCAAGGGGGTCTCTGAGGGACAAGAAAGGCTTGTCACATGCACGTGTGACCTTCCCGGTCCTTCCCACCTCCAGGGCCACAACCTGGGGCCCAGTGGCCTCTCTCAAGGGTGACAGACTGGGACTGGTATTGGCAAACACGGATCTGGGTGCAGATGTTCTGCCCTGGCCTCTCTACCTCCCGAATCCGAGTCATGGTAGTTGGGGTCCAGCCCCTTGTCCAGCAGCCGCGCCACCTTGTCAGATGTCCCGAGCTGCACGTACTCCAGGAACTTCTTCAACCCCGTCTGAGCCAGGGACAGAGAGAAGACAGGCTGGTCAGGGACCAAGGAGGAAAAGCAAGAGACCTGGAACAGCGCCGCCCAGTGGAGATACACAGCCAGCCGGGGAAAGTTTCTAGTAGCCGCCTCCAAAGAAAAAGGACAGGAGGATCCACCCGGACACTGACATTTATCTTGAAGATAAATGTTCTCGAAGGCACAGATCCACAACGCAGCTGTTCCAATAGGTGAGCCGTATGAAAATTATTACTAAGACACCTTACTGTCTTTGCACTGAATCTAGGCCACCCCTGTATATGTCACATTCACAGCAGGACACACGTGGCAACTCACTTCCAAGACAGTACAGGTCACGTGGATCGAAGAGATCACAGAGAACAATGGATGGACTGCATTGTGTGCAGGATAGGGTAGGGATAGCAGAGCGATGGAGCTATTTTCTTCCCAGGTGTCAGGAATCCCCATGTGGCCCTAGCATCTCCCTAACTTCCTCCCATCCCCCAGGTGACCAGGGGAGACACGGGGCACTCTGGACTGGAGGAAAAGGTGTCAGGAGAACCAGGATGGCTGGAGAGCTGACCACGGAGTTGACAGCGACTCAGGCTGTGGGCTGGGGACTGCGGGGTGTCTAGGAAATGGCCTCTTAGCAAAGCACTGAGGGCAGGAAAGGGGTCCTGAGTGATGCAGGGTCTCTGGTGAAGAGAGGGAGAGACCAAGGAGCCAGGAAGGTTTGCGCTGAAAGATGAGGGACCAGAGAGGGAAGTAGGAATCAGTTACAGTGGGAAAAAGCAGGATCCCCAGTTGTGATGCAGTATCCCAAGTCAAGTGAGAGACACTGACAGGGCAACAGGGAGCTGGCTCTGTGGATAGGGGTTCCAGGTGTCCTGGGTGGGAGTCCGGGACCAAAGCCAGCATGGTCCCCTCACCTTTGTGTGCAACTTGGCCAGCTGCTTCTCATCCAGGTTGGTCTGTTTGTAAACTCGGGTCTTGTATCGGAACTGAGGCCAGAGTGGGGTTAGGGAAGAGAAAGAGATATGGCATCAGGGGCCTCAGGACGTAAGAGCTGACCCCCAGAACTCCCAGGGTGGGCTCAGGGCTCAGTGGACAGAGGTGATGGAAGCTTTGCCAAAGAGCAGGTATTCGATTCTGTCTTGAAGGAGTAGCATCAGGAGCCCACAGGGAACCTTCTAGAACGCCTGCTGGAACTGCAAGCCCTTCCAGAACTGATGGGCCAAGAGAAGCATGGGGGGGAGGGAGGGACTGATCAGAAGGGGGACAAATGGCAACAGGAACTTAAGCCCCTGTGAGTTCTCCCCCCATGATTCTGAGTCCATCGGAATGGCCCACTGCGGTTTCTCAGGTTTTGATCTTGGCTAAGACAGTCACAGAGTTGGGGGGCATGGGTGTCCAGAGCCATGCTCTCTTGTGTAGGTGGCAATTGGGCTGGGGAAACTGTGGTCTCACCTCCAGGTAGGGTACCCCCTTCTCAAAAGACTGGGGGTACTCGCGCAGCAGCCGCTCCTCCTCCAGGAAGTTGGCATCACGGCCTGAGGTGGCTGGCTGGAACAGCCCATAGTTGAGCACATCCTGCAGGCTCTCGCTCAGGGCACAGAGCACTTGCTGCTTGGCTGTCCAGATGGTGGCATCGGGGTTGAACCGCAGGCATTTCTGGGGGGCAAGGGGACAGCAGGGCCCAGGGGTCCTGGTGAGCTGGGCTGAAGGATGATGTGGGAGCCAGAAGGAGATGGGGGCACAATGGGGCCCGCAATAGGGGCTTCCTGGGAAGATACCAGCTCCCCGGGCCTCCTCATACCAGCTCAGGCCCCGTCACCATCACTCACTGTCTGGTGCAGGTCCGGGATGCCAATCCTGAAGACCATCATGCTGAAGTGGGCGTCGTCAGGGACAGACATGGAGCGGCCCTGGAGGCCTCGGGCTGAGGCCAGGTTACCAGGTGCCCCACTGCCCCGGCCCCGGGTCCCCCGGGGGCCTCGCCCTGGTCCGTCCGGGGAGCTGTCGGACTCTGAGCCCCCTTCGGGACACTCGCTGGCACTGTGGCGTTCCTCGTCCTCGCTGGTCGCGGGGCTGTGGGTCATCGTGGGGCCACGGGGCAGTGGGGGACGGCAGCATCACAGGCGGCTGCAGGGGCCCAGGATGGCTGTCAGATCCAGGCTCAGGGATGCCACTTGCCATTCGCCACTCAGGAGAGGCAGCCAAAGGTGGGCAGCCTCACCCCACTGCTCTTGGGCAGGCTGGACGGTGGCAAGTAAACCCTCAGACCTGCTCAGATCTCCTGGTGCTTCAGGCATGCACACCCACTCCAGCGATGCTCCCAGCCCCTGTCTCCTTCCCTGCCCTTGGCCCTGCTCGCAGCCCCCCACCCCCCGTGCCCCACTTTGCTGCCGACCCAGTGTGGCCGTGTCCCAGAAACCGCAGAATCACCACGGGAGCTACTGGCCCACTTTGTCAGGCCACAGAAAAATGCAGCTAAAATTAGCTAAGGACACACAGGTGGACCTAGGGACAGCCACCCTGCCCTCCTGGCCCTGGCCTGGCCCCTCACCCTGGGGGAGGCTGAGATGTAGTAAGGAGATGGAGGTGTGGTGCCTGGGGCAGCAGGAGGTGCCTGTGAGTGAGCTAGCCGGTGACTTCACTGAAGTGTGGCTGCCAACCTGTGCCGAGGGCTGCTGGGAATCGGCAGTCCCAGGGGAGCCGGGGGTGGGGGGTACTGGTGCGGGTGGCATGGGGCAGAGTGTCTTGCATAGGGTGATCCCCAGGGAGCTAGGAAGGTGGCCTTGGGAGGATAAGGGACACAGGCATATGGCTAGCTGGGAAGGCTGCTCCTGGGAACAAGGTCCAGGTGACAGCAGTTTGCTGGGTGGGCACAGAAGGCTTCGAGGACCCCTGGGTGGCTCCAGGCGTGGCTACTGGGTGGGTGGCCTGGCACTGCTGCTACTGGTGGCTCCACTCTGAGGGGCACAGAGGATAGGGGAGGTGACTAGAAGGGAGCTAAGACTGAGGCAAGGAGCTGGGGGCCAGGGGTGCGTGGTGTGACCTCTGAATCTGCCGTTTTTCTCCTAAGAGTGCCTTATTTCTCCTAAGGGTGCCTTAGGAGGGTGAGTGCTCCCCAAGTGGGGTCTGCTTCCTTCTTGTCCCCCCCTACTCCCACCCCAGCACCGGAAACCAGCATGTCTGGTCTGGTCCCTCCCCCCCACACCAGGCCCAGCTCCTGCACCGTTGCCATGGAGATGGGAAGCAGTGGAGGGTACTGCTGACTTTGGGGGAGTGGGGATGGGCTGGGGGTTGGGGACGGGAAGACAAAATGTGTGTGCAAGGAGGAGAGTTCCAAGAACTGTGGGCGAGCAGCATCTAAGCAGGGGCCAGGACCCCTCCCCCACGCGTGGCGGGCTGCCTCTCCCTCCAAGGATGCAACCACGCTGCCCCACCCACCCTGTCTTGCCAGAGACCCCAGCCACCTGGACACCCCGCATTCCCCTCCTGATCTGCGGCCACGGCCACTCCCCCTCGGCTGACCCTGGCTGACCCCCACGTCCCAGCCCTGCAAGAAAGGGGTGGCAGGCCGGGTGACAACGAGGTTGGTCGGGTCCCCAGTCCTACACCCGCGGCTGCCCCAGCCCCAGGACCGGCTGGGCCCCTCCCCCTCCGGCCTTGAGGGAGGGAGCGGGCTCACTCCGCCGGGGCGGCATGAATCAAACGCTCCGCGGCTAAGAATAGCTGGCACGCAGCTGGTACTGAGACTGGCTGAGGAATCGGCGGGGGGGGGGGCATAGGAGAGGGGGTGCCCTGTGAGGCTGCGGGGGGCCAGGGGGCGGTTGGCGTGGCCGAGAGCCGGCCCAGGAGAATGAATGGAGGCGGAGAGAGGCGGGGAAAGCAAGGTTGGATTGGGGCGGAGAAGCCGGGGTTGGGGGGAGCCCCAGGTCGGGAGGGGGCGGGGGCCCGGGCGCGGGACTCGGGGGCGGGAGCCGAGGGGGCGCGCCGGCCGGCGGGGAGGGCACCGCAGACGCGGCGGGGATGGGGAGCTGGCCGGGGGTGGGTAGTGAGGAGACGCAGGAGTCGGGCAGGTCCAGGGGGTGGAGGAGGCCACGGCCTAGTGCACGCCAAGGGGTGGTAACCAGGATGACCTGGGGGAGCCCAGGTGCGCCGGGTGGGCGAGGCGGGGGAGTGGCCGGGCAGGGCCGGGGAGGGGGGGCGGGCACTGCGCGGAGTTCAGAGAGCCGGGAAGCGGGTTCGGGCCCGGGCTCTGCCCAGGAAGGGGGAGCACTCCCCCCTAGGCTGCGATCTGGAACGGGGCACGGGTGATCTGGGGTGTAACCCAGTTTGGTGTCACTCGGGGCAACGCTTTCCACCTGGCCTGCACCCCCTGCCCCACCCCACCGCATACCCAGGCCCAAAGCCCGGCGCGGGGCCAAGGACATCCGGGGCGCCCCCGCCCCCTCCCGCCACCCTGT